CAACCACTCACGCAGTTAACCTAATTATTTCAAGTCTGGTGCAAAAACGCATGATCGCACCGGCTCAGCCTGGGTTTTGAAATGGTACAGCTCACTGCAAAATATGATGCGCAAAAAGGCATGCTACTGTCTAAGCCACTGCATTGCCTGACGAAACTATTATTCCCCTGAATATTCTAGTTCGGCAAAATCTGCTGAAATTTAATTGTTGTCGGTTATATCAGTTTATTTTCATTATTACGTGATATTTTACTTTTATATTTTACTGTTTTAGGATACATCAACTCGAAAAGAGGATTTATGTGAATTGTGCGAGGAGTGGCATGTGGCACCGGTCACAGCGCATATGCGGATGGCACACCCTGGTTGTGGAAAACACACCAGAGGTCAGGGTTATAACAGTTCAGGAAAATACACCACAGGCTGGTCCGGAAATTGTGGTGACGGTGGACGACCGACTGCTATTTGGTAATTTAAACAAGAGTTATTTTTCTTACTCAGTTTCTTCAAGACTGAAATTTTTGTCGGATTTTTTATTTTTGTTAAATCGTATGGAATTTAGGTATTTGATGTGTGCTTTATGCCGATTGAAGTACCTCCAGCAGACTCCTTCTGGGCATCAACAGGTAGCTTTTTGTCAGGAAGTTTCCAAATTGCATTTCTAAGCCCCCAACTGCTATGGATTCAATACATTTATGCGTAGCCCGATTTTCATATGTCGGATCAGTCCGGTATTACCCAAGTTACTTGTTTTTACACAAACTTGACGATGGGTTTTGTTTGCACGGTTTTCTTTAGAGAACATTTCTGCGTATGAGGGACTATTTGTGTTAACTTGGAAGTTATCATGGTTATATCGCTCCGTTTGGGCGTAGTAAAATACCTACAAAAAACAGTGATATTTTTAGGAACGAAACCGTCGGCGGCGCGAATTTTGCGCCTCATCTGCAGCTTCTGAAATAGCTGCAGAAACGATCATCAAACAAAATGCAACGTTTTTGCTGGAGCTGAATGCCTGTATGGAAGGCGACAGCAAGGACACATCAACTGCAACGTCCGGGTGGACCATCAATTTGTTCCCGCAAACTTCGATAATTACACCAACCGTCAGTTCTACTTGTGCGCGGGGTGACGACGGAGTACTATCGCAACCGGTATGTTAAATATTATGCGGGGAAGTGGGATGTAATTTCTTCTCCTAGAAAACCATGAGAGGTGGGACATGGACTGGATTTTTTTCTTCGCGAAACTTCTGTTTGCGAGGCAAGAATTCCGGCACCA